GTGTGTTTTTGAGACAAGGTCTCTCTGTAGCCCCAGCTGGCCTGGAATTCACTGTGTAGATCAGGCTGGCCTCAAATTCACAGAGATCCACCTGCCTCTGCCTCCGGAGTGCTGGGATCAAAGGTGTGTGCCACCATGCCTGGCAAAATGTCGGTTTTTAAAAAGACAGGCGTGAAGGAGTTTGAACAGATAGCCTGCATGAATGGACAATGTTTTAAAAAACAAAACACTCTTAGGATAGTTCAGTGGTTAAGAGACCTTCCAGAGAACCTGAGTTCAGGTATCAGAACCTACACTGGGTGGCTAACAAGTACCTGTAACTACAGCTCCAGGGAATCCAACCCCCTCTTCTGGCATCCACTGGCATCTGCACTCATATGCACATAGACACAAAGTCACATACATAATTTAAAAACAAAATAAACAAATAAAGATACATACAAAGAATAAAAGAAAGTCTCAGTGCCAGATGTGGGATACCTCCCTATGAGTTACTGGTCAGGGAGGCCCCAGAATCCCCCTTGGTTGCCCAACATAACCAGCTGGGAAGATAGTACTGTTGAAGATGACAACATACTTTTGTTTCAGAACATAGAGAAAAAGAAATCAAGCCAGGAGGCTGGCAAGATGGCTCTACAAGTAAGGGCACTTGCTGCCAAAATGGACAACCTGAGTTTGTTCCCCAAGACCCACATGATGGAAGGAGGGAACCAACTCCTGCAAGCTGTCTTCTGACATCCACAGTCCACATACAGGTGTGCAGGCACACACACACACACACACACACACACACACACACACACCCCAAACAAATAAATAAGTGAAATTTAAAGATTTAAAATATATATATTTTACTTATTAGTTTTATTTTATGTGTATGCGTGTATTGCCTGCATGGAGGTAAGTGCACCGTGTCGTGCAATGCCCATGGAAAACAGAAGAAGCTGTCAGATCCCCTGGAACTGGAGTTACGGACAGTTGTTAGCTGCCATGTGGGTGCTGGGATTTGAACCTGGGTCTTCTGTAAGAACAACCAGTGTTCTTAACTGCTGAGCCATCTCTCCAGCCCTAAGGATTTTTTTTTAAAAGAAGAAACTGAACTGGAGAAATGGTTCATCAGTTATGAGCACTGGCTATTCTTGAAGAGGACCCAGGTTTGATTCCCAGCACCCACATGGTAGCTAACAACTGTCTCTAACTCTAGTTCCAGGGAATCTGACACCCTCTTCCAACCTCTGTGGGCACTGCATACATGTAAGCAATATACACATAAAAATAATAAATTTTAAATATTTTTATTTATTAAATCTTATGTGTATGAATGCATTGCCTGCATGTGTCTAAGTGCACTAGTGTCATGCAGTGCCCACAGAGGTCAGAAGAAGGCATTGGATTCTGCTGGAACTGGAGTTATAGGCTGTCAGCCGCCATATGGGTGCTGGGAATTGAACCCCGGTCCTCTGTAAAAGCACTCAGTGTTCTCAACGGCTGAGCCAGCTCTCCAGGCCCAAAATAATAAATTTTAAATAAAAGTATAAGAAATCAAGCTGGAACTAACTGGCCTGAAAACTTCCTCCCTAACTGGTTAGCTTTCATAGTACTGGATGGTGCTATGCAGGCCACTGGGGAAGAAAGTCATCAGCAGTATTACTCAGCAGTGAACTCTGAATGCTGCAATACTGACCTGCCAGGCAAGACATGCCCACTGATGCAATAGTGAAATGGGGGCAACCAATTGCTTTTGGAATGGATTTAAGGTCTATTCCACAGCAAGAAATTCATGTCTGGTACCATAAACTTGGTTAAAAGCCCATGGCTAGGGAAGTCTTAGGCCCTGGGGGAACCTACGATATGTAGTTTCACTAACTGGAGACATATTGTCAAAATGCCTTCTAAATATTTATGTTTATACCATAGAGTAGTGCTGCTCTGAACCTTACCCAAAGATGCTTCTTTCTGCAGTGGACAGCAATTAATGCAGAGACTCTTAACTGGTCAAAGTGCTGTGAGAAAGTGTCCTTAAATGAGACATCTGTATCAACATAGCTCCACAAAGCTCAGAATATTATGGAAGAGGTCCTGAAAGACCATAAGAGACAGAGGATGGGGAAAAGTGCTGCAAACTGCTGACATCTGGACATGATATGACTGTTGCACTTATGAACTCACTGCAGCTGTGGTTATCTGGACAAGATGAAGTCAGTAAGACCAGCCAACATTCCAGCAGACAGGATTAACTGGACTCAGCAAGTTACACACACACACACACACACACACACACACACACAAGGGAGAACATGAAGGGTGGGAGGGAGATGTGTTGGGGGTGTCCTAGGGGAGTTGTGGGTGGATATG